GCCAATGGGAATTTTGCCTGCTATGAGCCATTAATACCGAGGTCACCATCTGCTTGTTTCTGTTTCTCGGTGAAGGCAAGGGCTGTCTTTTTCACATTAAGTGGATCTGCAGCCAGTGTTTTCTTGTTGTTGTTTTAATATCTTTATTAGAGAAAGAGCCTGTATCAAATAAATAATTTGATAATAATTATCCTAGAGTGTTTGTGCCCGTTAATAGTCCAGGAAAAGCTGTCAGGTTTTGTAATCCTGAAACCAGTAGTGTTTGTACAATAGAGTCTGTTGCATTTGAAAAGGTGACAGCCCAAAGTCTTCCTGTGTATTACAGCTCTGTGAATGTGCTGATGTATTTTTCCACAGGACAGTATTGCCCTTAAAACATTAGTCACTGGCACTCACTATCTTCTGTAACACAGGGGGCATAATGCTGCTGACTGATACAGGGAAGACAAACACACATTATATATTCATTTGTACTTGCTTTGCACAGATTTAAAACATAACCATTTTTATTTTATAAAAGTTCAATCTTGTTTGTCCAGGTGCACTAATTATAAAAGGTTCAAAGCAATTGACAATGCGTTTGTCTAAGTTAAAACATCAGTGACTGTCATCAGCTCAGAGACATACAGATCAATTCAATACAGGACCAAGCACTCTTCAAATGGGTATTAACTGGGAGTGCTTGCGATGTGAACTGCTGGACAGTCCTGACACTTATTCCAGGAAGGCATTAGCACAATTGTACCTCACAGCACAAAAAAACCCCACAGTATTTCTGCCTAGCATGCAGGAGATCTTGATTTGTATTGCAAGTTGCAAAAATCCAAGATTCATCAAAATATCAAGGTTTTTGTGTGCTCCATCAGCCCTTTGAATCTTTTGAGATGCCTGCTATTTATAATGCACCTTAGTCATTAGATTGTGGAGGCTGCTTTCTAATGACTTTTAAAGTTGGAGAGTCAATGGAAATAGCACAATTAACATGATAATACTCATTTTAAAACTAACCTTCTGTCAACAAAAAGCCCCTTAGAGCTGCTAGTTTTGCTTGTTGGCTGTCATGCCTCTTGTCCCTGGGGAAACCATCCCTGGCTGGTTGTGCTGTGCTGTGACACTGACAGCTTTTTGCTGCAGGGAATCTCACATATTTTCCCCAGGTAAAGAGACAGCAACATGATGTCATTTAAGCTGTTTTTGGGGAACAGACACAGTAAGACGGGCAAACCAAAAAATGCAGATGTGCAGAGGTGGAACTGTATGGCTCACAGTACTACCAAGCATCTCTGAGATGCCTTTATTCTATTCCTGGCTCAGTCATTGTCTTATGCCATTGTGCACTACTAAATTAACCTTGTTCAGTGACTGCAGCACCATTTGTAAAATGGGAATGATAATGCTTAGCACCACAAAGGGGCAGTGTAATTCTTTGCTAATTAATATTTATAAAGTGCCAGATTCTCCATTGCTCTGCACCTTTGCAGTCATTTACATCTGTGCAAAATGAGGACAAAGTGGCTGAAAAATGCTGCTGTATTTCATACCCACTCTATGCTAGGGTGAAGGGCTGTGCAATGATTACAGCAGTGGAGAGTGTCTCAAATAATTTTCAAGATACTTTTGCCTGTAGGCATAGATCTATTAACTCAAGAGTGGAAGCATCTGTAATAGGTATTTCCAAACGTCCCCTTCTCAGACTGTGGCACACAAAATGTTAGTGTGATGTTAGTTAAGATGGAAACTTTCAGGACACTTATTACTTCACAGCAAGCTACTTGTTTGCATGTTCTTACGTCCTAAGGTAGCTTAAAAAGGATTAAACCATATTCTATTTATTGTGGAAGTGTAAAAATTCATATTTTAGCATAGCTTTGCAATAACTCCTTTATACCTTCAGATGTTTTGATAAGGTTAGTGATCACGTAAATGCATACTTCTCTTGTTGCAATATTGTAGCAAGAGTTTTAGGGGTGATAAAGAACACAGGAGTCCAATGATCCAAAAGAAGTCAAAACTTCCTGGTTTTGATCCTTTACTGTGTTTCCTTGTTACAAAAGAAGCCTTTGGAAGTGAGGTGTACCAGGAATATTTACCTTCTGGAAACCTTGTAGATGTCCCTGACAAGTTAATAAAATCAATACTTGGTCATGATTCTCTGTTAGGTAGCCTGGAAGACAGCAAGACAAACTGCTATCTTAATTAATTGACAAAAATGGGTAAAGAAAACAGGTAACAGAAAAATCATGAAGTTACCACAGTGAGGTGTCTTTTCTGTCATTTGGTGAGAAGATCTTGGCAGACCCATTTTGGCAGGCTGACTCTAATAAATGCTGGTTTGCTCTGCCTAGCCTAGCTTTTTTTGCAGCTAAACATAAAACTTTTTAAGTCTTACTACATGACATATTCTAAGCCATAAGGGAATGAGCAAGGTGTGTCAGTAGTTTTGGATACGGGAAAACAAAGTTTGTTATTTACTAGCTTATGTAGCTAATGTTCTTGTAGGTTGAATAGAGTAGGTGACTGCAGTTTTATTCCTACTCAGTTCAGATCTCATTTGCAAAATTGTGGAAAGAAGAAATTTTGTTCACTTTTTGTCTGCTTGTCCTTCTCAGCACTTTGTTTTCCATGCAGCAGTGGCCAGAATCATGTGTGTGTTAATCACAAAATTGCTTTCGTGCACATTCTTAATGCCTCTTTGATTATGGGCCTGTCACCAAAAGCCTAGCTGTTCAGAATACTTTCTGATTAATCATGCTCTTCTCATCAGACACTTCACTTGTAGAGTATCAGATAATGATCGTCCTCACTGAGAGTTAAAGGTTTCCCAATAAATAGAAACTGTGACTGTTGGGAACCCAGACAGTGTGGTGTCCGTTAATTAAAGTAATGTGAAACTATTCAGTGAGGGGTTTGTCTCTAGAAGATTATCACACCAGAATACTCTTTCTGGTTCCAAGCAAGAAAATGTAAGAAAAACACCAGATGAGGTGATACAAAGTAAGCATAAGCATGATCAGGAAGTACGAGCCGATATTAAATGAATGCCCTACCTTGCAGGCTTTGTAATGCAGGCTTCCATCTGCTGTTTCTGCATGAAAAGAAATGTGTTTTCTTTTGACATCTGTTCTGTATTTGTGTTTGCTCGTGGAATGTGTCATCTAACTGAAATAATCCACTCACCCTGTCATAAAGATGAGAACAGAGGCCTGCATCCTATTCCGTCTATCTTGTGCAGCCCCAGCAGTCAAGTGCTATAAAACTTGTTCCTTGTCCTGTCTAGAGCTCAAGGAACAGGATTTCTATGGCTTGTCTGTAGACACTCTTCTACATTTTGAAACCATAATAGTAGGCATTTTTTATTATAGGTGAAGATTAACCAGTTAGAACATAGCACATTACTCTCTCAATATCCTTTAGTTAATAAATAAATAAATGAATAGAATTCCAAAAGGGAAAACTGAGTGGACTCACGGGGCGGGGAGGAAAGAGCCAAAATCTGTCTGCTGTATAAGTATTCTGAAGATTCAGGTCCTTGTGCTGTTTCCCCCAGCCTTGATATTTAGCCTCTGAAGGAATACCTGCTTGATTTGCAAAGCTGCAAGATACAGGGACATAAAAAATCTGAGAACTCCAATTCCAATGAGGTGTTGATGAACATATTAAACATTGTTGATAGGATTATTATGTATGCATATCATAGATATATTTGAAAGGCTACAGATCAATGATCAAAATAGTGATCCATCAGTGATCAGTCAATATAAATAATGGTATCAGTTAGTGTCCAATAGACTTCTACCAGGGAAGGTCTTTAGGTCTTGAACAAAGTGAGATTACCATGATTTTACTCATCAAAATGAGAGCTTATCCTAGTGACCAAATTGCTGCGATTTAGCAAGTTACTGCATAGTGCCTGACTTGCAGTATTGTTTATGAGTTCATGCTTAGCCTGTGGCAAACAAAAAGCAAATTTAATTGTATTTAGTCAGCAATGAAGGAATCTTAAACTGAATCAGATTTTGCTCATGGTGAGAGCAGAATAAATGTAAATGCACACAGTGTGGTTCAGTTGAGTCACAGTAACCTGTTAGACCATATCAAGGTGATTATATACATTAGTCCTTATTCTGCTCCAAAGTGCAGGCCTCACAGAGAACAGAGAAGCAGTGTATTACTGTATCTGATATAAAACTCTTGAATTTCAGGGTACTGCTGCTTAGTTTCTGCTTTTCCATTGACTTGAAACATGATAAGAAAAAAATTCCAGACTCTGCACCTTAGCTTCTCCAAATGTTGTCAGTGGATAATAATTCTCAGCTGCCCTGGTAAAACATCTTTATATCCTCTGATTAAAGGTCAAATTTAAAGATTTACCTTCTATAAAGACAAATTCATTCAGTCTTTGTTATATATCAGATTATTTTATGAATAGGTCCTGTAACTGAGAAAAATCCTCAATGTTATTAAGTAACTGACTAAAACTAAAATGCATCTTAAGTGTGGCTAAAACCAGATATACCTTTAATCAGATGAACGAAGCTTGTTTGAGGGTAAAAATGACCCCTATATGACGAGTTAGTGTGAGACTTACACACCAGTTTAACTCCATTGAGATTTATTTTTTTTTGCAGCACAGTGACTTCCTGGAACCATGGCTAATCATTTCATTTGTGTTTCCTTGACTAGAGCTAAAATTCACAGGGATGGTAGCCTGTTCTGCTCTCGACACAATGATAATAATCCAGTCAAAACTAATATTCCTTCACAATAAACTAGATAACAGGATTGTCAGGCACAGATGCTTCTTTCTAATCCTTTAGGGGTCAGGGGGAGAAATCATGCATGCAATTTGTTTCTGTTCTCATAGGGCATAGAAGGAAAACTGGGCTGTTTTTTTAAATGCACACTCTAACATGTTTCCTGAGAGATGGAAGGTTACAGATCTGCACCTAGCAGGTGGAGCAGAAAATGTTAATTCTGAGATGTCTTTTATTCTTTGGCAGTTGGTTGCAGTCCTCTGACTTCTGCACAGAGGAACTTTCCACTTGGTAGCGAGCTCTTCTTGTGGACTCTTGCCCTGGATTTGTCCTGGAATGTGGCAACGTCTAGTATGGTCACTGAAAACCTTGCAGGTAGGAAGAGAGACTTTGAATGTGGCTATTGTGGAGGTAGAGTGCAGAACAGGGCACATCCACGTGTGGAGTAAGATTGTCATCTGAAATGAAAGAGGCGCAATGAAATGAAAACTGAGGGGAAAAGGTTTAATTTAGGAGCTATCTTTGGAACTTTAAACAAGTCATTTATTTTCCTGCTAAATGTCTCCAAGTTTCAATACAGTTTTTATAATTTGGAATTTACTGTTTAAATTATACTTACACATTTGAACACATTTTAAATCCGTTCATTAAAGTCTTTAAATGTACAATTGAAATTACTTTAATCTGAAACGCAGCCTTACCAGAACCATTATTTAGCAAGTCTCTGCAGTCTGCCCAGATCTGCTGAAACAAGGAAAATATTGTTTGAGCTGCTCCATTTGAGGAAAGAATGGCCTGAGTATCTTTCCCAAACTTTAAGAAATTGAGAGAATTAGGAATTGGAGGTAAAACTAGATGAGTTCGTACAAGCCTCGTGGGGGACATTGAGACTCTTTGTTGAGTCTCTCATTATCCCACAATGAGCTGTTTAAGGAGTTAAACTAGTTAGAAAAAGAATGGAGAGTTCAGATTTCCTCTTCAGAAAGTATCTGAATTTTACAAAAAAGGTATCTGAATGATTCTACCTACTTCGTTCACCTTTACTTCTGAAAACTAGAGTAGCTCCCATCTGTTCATTGAGCTTCCTCACTGAGGTGCTCTTCACACCGGCTTCTACTAAGACAAATTACCCATGGATAAGGTTCGTTTCAGAAGTTACTCTTCCTCTTTCTTGAGGTTCTTTTTGCAAACTGTTACTACTTTTTTTTTTTTCTTTTTTTAATGCCTTTTCAGACAGCCCCTTTCCTTTCCCCCTCTTTTTATTTCCTCCCTTCTACTTCACCTGCTTTGTATGAACTTTTCTTTTTCTGTGAAGCAGGGGAGCTTGCAGATTTTTCTTGCTTTATTTCTTGTATAAATACAGTATCTTTTTAGCAGTTCATGTAGTTTGCTTTAAAGAAAAATTTTCATGAGCATAAATGATCACATTATTCCCCTCCCCAGGTGTGTAGGTACAGCATAAAAATCAGTAAGCATTGCTTTAAAAATGAGCGATCTTTTATGTACTCCTTAAGGCAGCTGCTTCAAGATTTTCATCTGCACCTGACCATGAAGTTCTGGGTTCTACTTTGGTACCCAGTTGTGTTTGGTGGCAGACTGTTAACATTTCCTCTTGTAAAAATGAGTTAAAAAGTATAATAGTCCTGAAAGTGGCATTGGGCATTTCAAACCTAATGGTCCATCCCGGAGGGGAGTAAGAAATCAAGGACTACTGTGTGGATAGAAAGTCGCTATTAGCATGATCTTAAGGTTGGAAATTAATTATCACCTTTAACTCTGTTGCGTCTTGCATGTAAATTCATTAACAAAAAATGATCTAAGAGCATTTAAGTCAATGCTGCTTGTGTAAGGATCACAGATGAAAAGAAAGTCAAACTCTTCTGTCCTCTTTGTACTCCCTTTATTACTGTTTATTTTCTCCTCTGATTTTGTTCTGACTTTTAATTCACCAGTGTCACTTAAATGAAATCATAAATGACTGACTCCATTTTTCTCATTTATTCATTCATTCAAGTAAAGTATAAGGGGTTAGGAAGTATGTGCTCTGTAATTCACTGCACTTGAAAGCAGGGGTAATCTGAACTTCTCATTGTGGGAAGCCAGCAGAAAGGTCATAGAATTTGCTGCTTCCTCTTACAGCAGTTGGGAGGATGGAGGCAGATGGCTAGATCTGTTGATTTTTCTAGTGGAACAACTCATTGTCCATTTAATTATTTCTCCTTCTTTCTGTAAAGCAGAGAATGTCTGCATTGAACATTTTCCATATTGAACTGAAACTGAATTGCAGTCAGAATGACCTGGAAAGAAGAGCTCAGGACAGGGAATCAGAATCCGTGAGTGCTGTTCCTTACTTTGCTGCAGACACCTTAGATAAGCACTAACAACCCATGAGTTTTCTTTAGAATTTGTACTTGTAAAATATTTAACCCACAACCAAAATACAAGATTTAATTTATTTATCTTCACCAGCACGAAATACTTGGTGAATAGGAGGTACTAGAAAAATGCAAGGTGTTAATTCTTGTGACATTTTAAGAAGATGAAACTGAATGATATTTTTTTTCTTCTTTGTTGAAGTTTTATGTGCACTTAATTTTATCACTAATTATTTTTAAGTAAAAACTGATACTTCTACCTTTAAAAAGAAAAAAGAAAAAAAAAAAAAATCATGACCCAGAACTTCCTCAGAACATTTTAGACTTCTATTGTGTGAGGTGAGACAGATAATGAATTTCTGTATGGTAATGTGCGGTATTGTTACTGTAGCCTACCGTGTATATTGGTTGTTTTACCTGTTTGTTGGGAAGCTTAGGAATGGTTGATCACTGCAGACCTGACTGTGCTTTTCCATGACTGGCTTTTTCATGCCTGCTTGCCTTTCGGCATCTTACATATGCTAGCAAACACAGAACATACCGGCTTTTGTTCTTGGTCTTCGGATCATATCTTTTTTGTGGAAACTAGCTTTCAGTCATCACGAAGAAAAAAAAAAGTGTGTAGCTGTTTAAAAGGAAGAGAAGGTAGCCCATTTCTTAGTGCCTTAGTTGTAGGCTATTCTCAGGCTTCTCTGTACGAGCAGGCCTTTCTAAAAAATAAAAATAAAGGTCTCTCTTTGCTATGTTCACAGACTTTCAAGGAGATTGGCTTGGTCACAGAATCCACAGTGACGTAGCTCAGTGGCTTTTCAAGGATTAGAGTGGTCTGTGATGAGCAAGATGGTGATGAAAGAATGGATAGTTGGTAATTTTGGTGAATCTCTGTAAGCATTTGCTATGTATCTTTTTTTAGTGTATCTGATTACCAATTTTATTATTGATGTAGACGCAGTTATGATTTGCATTTTCTGGGAGCGTAAATGTGTAATGCTATAAATTATTCATTACAAGTGTATTTTAGTCAGAGTGGGAGATAATAAATGACAAGAAAAATAGTAGTAAAGGCAATGAAACCTGTATTAGAAACCATTCTTGCTAAGGTACTGGCAGTCCTAAGAGATTGCCCCAAGTTGTCCACAAATATATTCTGCTTCCCTTTATTAGAAAAAAGCATTTCCATTAGGCAGTGCATATTATTGATATCCGGTGGAGCAACTTAAGTAAGGTTTAAGCAGAATTGGCACTTTATGAATGATACAGAGTTGCACTAATGTGTAACCACATTACCACTGGTTTGTTTTTTCACCTCTAAATCTTGCTGAATAAACTCATTCCTCCAATCAAAATGGGAACTTAATTTTGGCAGGACTGATTCACATCATAACGATTTAAGGGCTTATTTAAATACAAAATGTATTTAAAATGCATTTATAAGTAACCATGGAGGTTTTTTGTTTGTCTGTTTTATGTTGAAGTTGAAAAATCTTGGCTATGTTTAAGTAAGCATTTTAATTAAGGGGAGTTTGTTCTGTCTGTGAGCCTATGGCTGTCATTGCTAATACTTAATTAACATTCTAATATCTTAGCCAGCATGGGGTTAAAGTCAGGCTGTACAATAATCTCTGGCATTGCCTGTTACCTTTTATAATACAAAAAACACTAATCCCAGAATTCAGACACTGCAAAATTGGAAAAAGTAGAGTGTTTTGGTCCCCAAAGCTCAAATACCGAAATTGTACACAAAACTTAATGAAGATATCAAGAGAAAAAAAAACATTTTGGAAACAAGGATAGATCCATCCTTTTTCTGACCTTGGAATACTAATATCTTACTGATCTATCAGAGAAATTCATTCCTAATGCTAGGTCCTGTTTCTCCAGAGTTTTACCTGTGTAGTGCATGTAACAGAATTTGGGAAGAGAATTCACTTTTGTTTGTAATATTGTAGGACAATTCAGAATGCAAGGCAGCAGAGGAGGCTTCTAGACCAACCTCCTGCTCAGAGCAGGGTCAGCTATGGGGTTGCTAAGCTGAGTCTTGAAAATTGCAAAGGATGGAGACAGCACAGCCTCTCTGGGCAGCTTGTTCTGCTGCCTGACTGCCCTCATAGAAAAAGGTTTCTCCTTATATCCAGTCTGAACCTCTTGTCCCAGTTTATACCCATTGCACCATGCAGTGTTGTGATGAGTCTGGTTGTCCTTCCTGTAAGTTCCTGTAGGTGCAGGCAGGCTGTTACTAGGTCTCCTGAAGGTCAGTCTCTCCTCTTCTCCAGCTGAACAAGCCCAGTTTGCTCACCCTCTCCTCACGGGACAAGTGCTGCAGTCCCCAACAATCTTGGTAGCCCTTTACTGAACATGTTATTTTTCCTGTTCTGTGGAACTACAGCTGGAATCAACATTGGAGATATGCTCTAACGTGCATAACAGAGTCAGCTAATTGCTTCCTTTGATCCACCATCTGCACCGTTAGTACAGCCCAGGGGTGCTGTTGGCTTTCTTTGCTGCCAGGGCACACTGTTAAGCATGGTGTCCACCAAGGTTCCCTGGACCTGGTCAGCACAGCTGTTTTCCTGCTTACCGGGAGGCAATACTGGAAAGGTCAGAACAGAAAATGAAGACGTGAAATATTTTATTCCAATTTCCAAACAGGACATTTTGACATATTTTTTTGTTCCTTCTGTTTTCTTTGAACAATGAAAACCCGATTACATTGATCTAATTTTGCAAAGAGCTAGGGTTATGACAGAATTGAACATCATTCTGCCTGCATTTCTTAAATCAGTTGTAACTACCAACCTGTCCTTCTGCTCAGGAAGGTCTTCTTTCAAAAGGTTTAAATAATATTATTGCTTTTATTCAGTTGAGTTTGATTGATACCAGTTATGTTTCTCATATTTTATCGAGAAATTATGGGAGAGGAAAATATAATACGTAAATTGCTTGTGCAGAAAGAGAAAAGGCAAAACAAGGAAAAGTGAAGTAAAAATACTATCTATCAGAAGTCCAGCGGTTATTCTTTGGCAACCGACTTGCAAAACAGGCAGAATTTGTATGTATAAATCATACTGGTAAATAAATGAAGCACTTATGCAAGCATTTTGTGCAGGACTCTGTAGACTTCATAGCTTGTTGTTTTGCCATTTGTAATGAGAAAGGACAACAGATTGGAAGAAGCCAGCATTAAACCATAAATTAATGAACCATAATGTCTTTAAATCCCATTGTGAGCTAATGTTAGATTGTCATTGGTTAAATGCTTTCAAGGACTGATATTAATAACACTCCAAAGCAAGAGATGTCAGTTCCCTAATGGAATGGGGCCATTCAAGCAATATATTTGAAGACTGGTCAGCAAGCTAGCAAGAGCAAAATGTATGCATGGAGACAAGGGAAAAGGAAAATCAGAGGATCAACATTTAATCCGTCCATTTCAGATTCTCAGAGATCAGAGGAAAAAACAGTTTTTCACAAGAACAGTTTGTCCTGCTGGGCTTGTATGATGCTGCAGTTCCAGGAAAAAAAGAAACAGGGGAAGATTATTACTACAGTGCTGCTCTGAGAATGAAATAAAGGAAAAGAAATTTCCTTCTCCCTAATTACAAAACAGAAGTTGCTAAAATATCTTTGTCTTTCAATCTATGCTTACATTCATCCCACGAGGATTTAAAAGATTTTCTCACTAAGCTCACTTCACTCCCCATCCTTATGGACAGCCATCCATTTCTCCTATGTTCCACAGCAGTTGTTTAAAAAATAGAGATTGGAAATAAAGAAGAAACAACTCTTCAAATGAAAATTCAGGGGTATGGTAGTAGAATGTGATGAGTTTAGCCAGTTCCTGGAATAATAACTAGATTTTTTCTGGAAAAGTAATAAGACTGTACTGGAAGCCATATACTTCTCAGTCTGTATAATTTCAGAGTATTTCTCTTTCATCTCGGGGAGGTAAAATTACATTTGGGGCAGAACTCTCTGGTCAACAGAGGTACAGCCTCTTTCTCTGTCTTTCTACTGTTATGATCAATAAGTGCTTAAATGTTCTCTTAGGCCAGAAACCATTTTCTCTGAGCTAAGTTAGCCATGATAAAAAAACAAGATCAGTGTGGGGTCAGACAATATGGTGTTAGCAGCACGCTGCACTGAGGAAGCTGTGAGATAGTTCTGAAGGACAAATAGGGTGCTGGAGGCTTTCGTATTGCTTGAAAGGAGTGAAGCTGACTTATATTAATTCTTGGAAGGTGTGGGGAAGGCTGAGGTGGGGGAAATGTTTGATATTTATATTCAGGGAACTATTGGAAGCTCTGTTTCTAGGTAATGAAATTGCTCACGTATTTACCACAGGCACTGGCATAGTGTGTACCCAGGCAACATCTTGACATCTGTTGTTACAAAAAAAGGATACTTTTGTGAGACAGGAATGAAGAAAATGCTTCTATTTTAAATTGAGCTGTGAATATTGCAGTGTGAGTGATCCAGTGATAACCAAGGGTGTGCATGCAGTTGCTGTCTGTTAAGTGTATTGCAGCTGTTAAAAAAAAAGAAAAAAAGAAAAAAAAAAAAGAAAACCAACACCAAACAGACCAAACCAAAGTCTTGTTTTGACACTGTTTTCCACATCGCAGGGCTTCACTGCTGATTCATACTTGGCCTAGGAACATACAGCACTACAAATGTTGTGAAACCAGAGTGTCACATCTTTTCACTACTGCAAGAGAGGATCAGCAGATCATGCCATTCTGGTGAGGTGTAAGTAGATTTACAGTCCCCGTAATCAAGTTGGGCTATGTAGATGTATCCTTTGGAAGCTGTTTTATGTGTGCCAAGGAACACTCCCTCCTCTAGCACACTGTATGACTTGGATGGTTGTGGCTGAGCCTTTGTCATGGTTTCAAGGTCACTTCATAATACAGAGTTGATTACATGATTATTCTGCCTTTATTAATACATTGATGTCAGATTTCTTTATTTGAAAAGGGAAAAAAGAAAAATGCCCTGTGTATCCACAGCGAACTATTCTAAACCAAACAGTAAATTTACAATAGCCAGAAAGATAATATAGTGAATGCACAGTGGGGTCTTGTTCCAGTTAAACTTCTGAGAGAGATTGATGCTCCTTTCAAATGATTTTATTTGTTAAACATAATCACATAAAGTAGTCCAGTCCTCACAAATTTTTATGAGGTGATATTATGACCCATAAAAGGACTTTATTAGTCTTTACATGAAAGCTTGCTGCTTTCTGTTAGAAGGTAGCATTTTTTAAGGGTTGCTTGAAAGCATTGGAACAATGAATTTTTATTTTTGGTTTAACCCAGAACACATTGTATGCTTTTGGAAAAATGCTGAATGTTTCCTGGTAAATCCAGGTTCGGAAAAAAAAAAAAAGTTAGTAGGAGCAGTGGATGGGGCATACAGCATACAGTTACATACAGATAGAGGTTCATCACGTGAACGTAACTGTTTCTGAAGGCTTTGCTGTTTTAATGATTCTGTCCTGTTTGAGAAAACCCTGAATAAGGACTGCTGCAAGCTTGCACTTCTTACATCTTTCTCTGTGAAGAAAAAGCTCAGTAATTTGAGCATTCCTGGATGCAGTTTGCTTGGATTTCAGTCATGGAAGAAGAATTGTGCTTTATCCTGGTGACAGCAGGAGCTTGAATGCTATGCCAGGCATCGGTGCAGAAGGTGGCATGTGGCTGTCACAGCCAAAAGGAAAAGGGGACAGCATGGATTAACATTGGTTTTAGGAACTTTTGTGGGTGTTTTGCATGGCACTTTAAACAGTTTGAAAATTGGTAGTTTGTTTGGAGCCCACCACTGGAGCTCTCTGTAAGGCAGGGGGTGTTATTCAGGTCTTCTGCCTGTGTGCGTGGTAAGGACTCCAAGCCCTTTTTAGAAAGACAGAAAGCAGAAATTGTGTGGCAGATGTGTGATTGCTGGCACAACTTTGGGAGTGACAGAGAACACTCCTGTTTCTCCTTTTTCACTTACCACATGGACTATCAGGGAAGCAGTGAAGAAAAACAGTTACTTCTGTTTCCCATACTTCAAGTTCCTTTGTGTACAGAGGGAAAAGAAAATTGAAAGAGCTAGCATGCCAAACAGGAACAGACAACAAAGCTGAGTAGCAAGGAAGGCCAAATGCCAGCTGATGACTGGGAACATTGAAATGCTCTAAAATACGTGGCTTGGGGTCACCACCACGTTTTACCATTAGGAAGTGAAAAGATTAGCATAGCTGAAGATCACGAGTATTTACTGAGATTCCTTTCATCCTGTCTGCAAAATCCTCATATAGTCCCCATTTTATAACAAATTCAGTCCCCAGATCCAAATCTGTCCTGCTCTGCATCCCTTCAGGTCTGTTATTTCTTTAATCAGGGTTTGCTGTCTTTGTTTCTTTCTTGGACTTGATGGGCAGAGTGATGTCTGTGTCTTCTCACACTGGGTCTGGATGGTGCAGATGCTCATAGGAACTGTCCCTGCTCATGTAAGGGGAGAAGTTGGGCTTGAACCAGAACTGGCCTGATCTGTTGCACCACTCTGCTTTCCTCCAGCCCTTCCTCCTGGAGAAATGGCACGACTCCAAGGAGGAGCTCCTTTCCCCCCTTTGGGGAGGACGCTTAGAAGTAGCTTCTCAAAGGGAAACTGGAATTCATACAAGGACTGGAGAGCCACTCAGCCAGCTGCAACCACAGTCCTGTGACTAGGGAACAGCACAGGCAGCACTGTAACGAGCAAGATGCTGCCAACTGTTACTTCATCTGCCTTGAGAGTTTGGGAGTAAAGAAACAGAGAAAGGAAAGGAAAGTGCAGCCAAAGGCACTTAAATATCATTAGAGTTATGTAAATCAGGCACGTTAAAAAGACAGAACTGAAGTGTTATTTCCCTCCTGAGGGGTTCTGGGGATAGCTGAAAGGGAGAGGGATGTCTTGAACAAAGATGAATTAAGTTTTTCTACAATGTGAGATGTCCTGGGTAGACAGGAAATAACCTGTTATTAATGTTTCGTTCTTCAAAGTTGATAAATACAAATACATAATATAATCCTTTAAGAACAATGTTTTCAGAGGGTTTGTACTTGGCTTTAACGTTTTAATTGTGCTGAGTGTTAGGCCCTGAAACAAAAAGAAATACATTCTGTGGAATTTTTGCTTGTTACTTGCATAAAAAGCGATTAAAGCAGTTTACTTTTAACTGCACATTGCTTGTATTATTTTGGGTTGTAAATAAGTACATCAGAACTCAGAATAACTAAAAAATGCAGAGCGATTGAAGACTGCAGAAGAGAAGGGCATTACACCTGTAGCTTTGAACACTGGGAAGATATTCTCCATAAATGTGTCTGCTAGGAAGGAGACCCATATGTTCAGCTGGGGTGCAGAAGGCAGGTGCAAAGCAACCTGCCCTGTGCAGCTGGGCTGTAGCAGGCACATATGAGTGGTGAGAGCAATAGTTCATCTGCTGAGTGCTTGCTCTTCACGAGTGTTTTAGTCAGATGAAGATGGTGCTACTGTACTTGTAATTGTGTGTCTCCAGATGTCTTTGCACAGAGTTTCGAAATTGGGAGGAGCTGAGTGGTGGTAGTATATGGAAAACTTATCAGAAAAGCGTGGTCAGATTGCTGAATAATTCTTTGTTGCACGTTGCAAAGGACAAGCAGTAGCGTGCTGTAAAACTTTACATCAGTACTTCCCATATTACAGAGTTCAGCTTGTATCTCTTCCCATTCATTATATGGGAAAACAAATCTGTGTAAGGCACTACGGATGGAGATATTAACGTGTGGAGATGTGACTTCCTACATGTAACCAGCTCGGTGCAAAGAGGGAGGTGTACTATGATCAAAGCTCTCAGCAGTGTGCAGAGATGCAACAGATGAAGAGGCGGGAAGTTTATCTAAGAGCTAGGGAGCACGCAGCCAGGAGCAGTGCTGATTTTAATGGGGAAAAAAAAAATGTACAGAGGAGTTGGCAGCTAGCTGAAGATAGAAAGGAGCCTGGGTCCAGCAAGTACATGGAAACATTTTTGCCTGCGAAATCCTGCCACACAGAGATAACCAAGCAAGCTGGCTGTGGCTGCAAAAAAGTCTGTCTGGGATTACTTTGCCTCTCAGAGGCAATTTACATCCTGCCTGTGTGCCTAAACCAACTAATGTAAAGCTTCACCTTACAGGCTCCAGTGCATTGCAGGCATACCCTGATTCACAAAGCAGAGAGTCTGAGGCTGATGAAGGTTATTACTCTTGATATATCTGAGCATTTGTTACAGATAGCAGCTTCGGCATAATTTCTGGGTAAGCTCCTGCAGTGGCAGCATGAAAACTCTTCACGTCAAAGTGAAGGGAAGGATTCAGAAACTGTTCCTGAGAAAAAAAAAATCTTGTTATATCAAATAAGGTTGTCTTAACAATGTGTCTTGGTACTAGGAATGTTCAATTGTTTTTGCTTTCCTGCGGAGGTCTTGGATTTCAAACATTTGGAATGGGATGTGCTGCATTAGCTAGTTCAGGGGTGTGTTGTCAGCCCCAAGATATTCAGTTCTAGATGTGCACTTAAGGAGTAAAGCATTAAGGGGGCTGGCTGGAATTTTATGGGTTTGTCTGAACGGGAAAAGCAGCAAGCCAGAGCGTAGGAGCTGCAGTTCCCAAAAGAATTATTTTTTGGAGACAACTTTTGGGTGTATTTTAGCAGCTAGTTTTACTTGAACAGTGAACGCCCTCACCAGAGCAGCCATTATGAATGTGTAAGAGCAAGAACTTGGACGGATGCACTGCAGCATTGTAGCCTACCTGGTGCTTTTGAAATACAGCTTTCCTCGAGTGAGTGCTGCCCACTGGACCTGATCAAAGTGGGATTTCTCATCCTTTTTCAAGAAGGGAATAATTAAATCCGGAAAGGCTTAAGTATAAAGTCATTAGGAATTAGTAAATGTTCCACATATGAAAAAAAACACCCAAATATTGAGAATTTTTACAACCAATGGAAGGGCTTTTCGCTTTTCATCACATTATGGATATTACGTACTGTTGTGGTTTAACCAGGCAGGCAGCTAAGCACCACGTAGCTATTCATTTACTCCACCCCTTGCAGTTGGATGGGAGAGAGAATCAGGAAAAAATAAATAAATAAATAAATAAATAAAAAGTAAAACTCATGGGCTCAGATAAAGACATTTTAATAGAATGGAAAATGAAGGAAAAATAATAATAGCAAAATAATATACAAAACAGGTGATGCATGGTGCAATACCTCACCACCTGCTGACAAATGCCCAGCCAGACCTGAGCAGCAGCCCCCACCCCCGCCAGCTCCCCCAGTTTCATTGTTCAGCAGGATGCCACATGGTGTGGGACATCCTTTTGGCCGGTTTGGGCCAGCTGTCCTGGTTCTGTCCCCTCCCAACTCCTTGTGCTGGCAGGGCAGCATGAGAAGCTGAGAAGTCCTTGGCTCTGTGTAAGCACTGCTCAGCAGCAACTGAAACATTGGTGTGTTATCAGCAGTGTTCTCATTCTAAAGCCAAAACAGAGCACCATACCAGCTACTAGGAAGAAAATTAACTCTATCCCAGCCAAAACCAGGACATGTATACACCACCGTGTCTTCTGCTCTGGGTGCAGCAGTAATGTGACATAGGTGTGATAAATTGTTATTAAGTGCTTCAGAATTTGCTAGTCTGCTTTGCCCACCAGCTCTGAGGGGACACTGCTTAAAAGATTGTATTTACTAAACTTTAGGTTTTACTGCGACAAATAATCTGAGCTAATTCATTAAGTTATAAGAGTTTCTCAGAGCTGTTACTGACCACTAAAACAAAATTCACAATAAGGAGCACTGCCTGTCAGCATTCAGAGGAGGGAGGACAGAAATACAGTTTCAAAGGAAAAACTGCTGTGTTTTAACTTTACAGTAAGATGCTGCTTTGATGATACTGCACCAAAACTGTATTTTTCAGACATATCCGAAAGGTGACTTTAAATGTTAGCAATAAGAAGCTGTATAGGTACCTGCTAATTGGGCCACTTCTCTTGAGAGGCTTTTGACATCAGTCGTAGGTGAAACTAAGTCATACTTTCATAACACTATTTTATTCATAAGTCTTAGGCTAACGATATGTAAGTGAATTACGCTTTAAGACATGCAGAAGAAAAGATGAGCAATGAGATGCACTTTCAGGAAACCTGAGGCTTGTGCTGAAAAGATTCAAAATGATTCCCAGCTGAGTAGAACCTCACCTGAAGAGCTGCAGCCCTGCTGAGGTCAGCAGTAAGAAGGGAACTAGAGCCTTCACATCAAACAGGCAAGAAATGGTAATCTGACTGAGCCTGGACTCAAGAATAAATTAGGAAATAAGAGCAGCTGCTGCTTTCAGAATCAAAGTATGATAAAAGGCAGGGATTTCCAGCTTACAGTGAGTTTGGGACTCAGTGAGGCTCACAGACCAGAACACACAGTGGGGGAGAAATCTTGTGGCCTAAAACAGCAGCAGCTGCTGTATCACAGGCTTAGTGATTTCCTACACCTGTGTAAGGCAGCTGTCTGGGAACCGGAGTGGTTCATTGTGCTTTCCAGAACTGCAGCAGGTCCCACTGAGTTCCTGCAGGCATTGTAAATGGTGATTTTCCACTCTAAGAAGACAGCGTGGCTGTTTCAAAATCAAGAAGGTGATACTGTATGCTGCTCTACCTTCACGCTGCCTGGAGGTGCAGGGGAAGAGGAGCCAGCTAGTTATGCTCTTGCCTTAGAGGAGAACATTATGCTGTGCTCAGGGTTAGAAAACTCTGAGCTGTTCATGCTAGTGCTCTCTGTGGTGCAAAAGAATCCCTAGATCTCCCCCCAGTCAGCATGTGACAGGGCCTAGAAACAAATGCTGAGGCGTAAACAGCCCCATTTCTTATTCCAGATGCTAGAGTTAGTCAACTACCTCTCCACAGAGTTTTTGTAAAGTAATTATACTGCTCCAGTAGGTTTGTATAGCCTCTTTGCAGAGATGTAAATGTTTATCTAGAGTATAAAACCATGGAGAATCAGAACGTACATCTCAATTTCAGTTGTTCCACAGCTACATCTGGGAAAGGAGAGGGTTGGTCACCACGCAGACATGCTATGTATCATCCCCTCAAACACGCTGGCCTTGGCTATATTCACATGAAATAAAACTGCTGCTAATTGCCTGCAAGTGTGCAACTTTGCCCTTGTGAGCAGTATAAAACCATGGAGATTTGGTTCATAAGATCTCAACTTGCTTTCACATCTTTTATTGAAGCAGCTAATATTTAATGAGGCTTCAGAAGCATTTGAGCAATTCTCCTGGTGCTTGAGGACCTAAAACAAGTCCTGACTATGTGATCTCAGTTTTATGCTGCTGTGTTTGGTCAGCCTTTTAAGCTCCTTTTGCTGAGAATAACCATCAGTTCCTTGATTCCTCTTTGAGTCTATTTTATCTATCTTCTTCACAGTACCCTGTAAGAACACTGACCTCGTGGCACTGCTTTTATTGGTAAGTTTTCAGCTCAAGTTGGAATGTACAATTTGCATAAGGCAAGTAAAAAACATCTCATGCCCTGCTTAGAAATATTGGCTAGAAATTGAAGTAGGATAATATAGAAAGATGCTGCTCACAAAAAAAAAAAAAAAAAAGTAATAATAAACAAACAAAAAACATATTTAAATTGCAAGAAACTTTCCTCCAGGGGCTATAGAAAGACAAATCTGTAAATACTCACTCTCAGATCAATATCAGAAAAAGAAAAATCTGAATAATACAGCATGTGTCTTGTGGAGACAGCGAGGTCACAGATCCAAATGATGCAGTTTGGCCAGGAAGGGGTGGGGAAGTGTTGTATTCAGCCCTCAGGTGTAAAGAATAAATCCCCATCTCAGTAAGGGGACACTTATCAGTAAAACAATTGAAAACAAGAGCCTGCTGTTTTATGTCTGACATGGACCTCACTTTGCCTACACCTGGCCATCATGCTTATCTCATTTGTTTTTCTTTGCCTTCTTCAGTTCAAGCAACTGGTAAAACATGAGGTGTGTTAGCATGCTGAAGTTAACTCTAAGAAAGGACTGTTAATCCATTCCAGCTCGATCATGGAGCAGCTGCAATTTAGCTGGGCAGTATTTGAGGTATGGTGTTTCTTTACTATTTTTATGTTTTTTAGATAGCTACTTTGTGTGTCAGTATATTCTTTTAATGAAAGTTCCCCTTCTTTTGATCCTGCGAGTGCCTTGATGTGCTGTCTCCTGAGACAGGCAATTGTATGGCGATGTACTGAAGTGGAAGGAGTGTTATTTCTGAATTCTTGTCTCTCTTTTAAACACTAAAAATTTTCCAATGTGTTGTGGCTGTTTTGCACAGCTGCTGTGATGCATAAGCTTGGTTTAAATGTCTGTCTCGTGGCTGCTTGGCATTACAGGAAGGTACACAACCACTGAAGTTTCTTTTCTGACAGACCTAGTACGTGCCTTCTGGTGAATCAGTATTTCCTATGGTGTGCTGCATTGTTCTGACCTTGAATTTTTATAGGCTTGTCTTCCAAGACAGCTTTTTCTGCCTTGGTCAAGGAGAGTTTCATTTTTTGTTTAAAAAGATGCACATAAGAAGCTGTGAGAGACCTAGAAGTCTTGGCTGTCTTTAGGCTCAGTTGGAAGTTTGATACTTCAGTGGGGCCTGAGAATGAACCCTAAACTTACTGCTTAATTATTCCAAAATACAAAGCTTGGGGTTTCACGTCTATTTTCTCCTCACTGTTCTTCTTTCTTTTCCCCACCTCATTTCTTTAACTAATTTCCTTAGAATAGCAGTTCTGTCTATATTTTTCCTGCTGCTTATGCCCAACACCAATTTTAAGCATAGGCCTAAAACCACCCTAGAGGGTGGCTGCCTGCTTGGCTTTATGCTTGTGCTGGGATTGGTGGCAGTGGCTGCTGCTGAGAGAGGTGTTGGGATATCTAGGGTGACAGCAACGGTTGGATGAACAAAACAAGAGAATGGAAAATCTTGCATTTGCTCCTCTCAAATGTTTACTTCAGCTCTTCGTTACCGGTTTTTCTGTGCCAGCCTTCTTGTCCTCCAGTGTTTCTTAGCTTGCTAAGAATACTCAGTCAGCTTTGTTTATGGGCTCTTCTACACTAATGGCCTAGGCAAATTTTACAGAAATTTAGGAAAATTCCACTTTCTTTTGGATCTGTAAGACAGATCCAACAGACATCCAGCTTTTTAGAGACCTATCTATTGATTTAGACTCCCATCAACTAAAATACTGCCAGTGGGAGTCTTCACTGCAGGATGCTCCAGTGTCTAAAGACATTATAGGTGATTTTGTGTCCTAAGACCTTTTTAATGCTTCTGCACTGTTTTGCAGTTCTTTGTTTGTTTTGTTTTTCATAATAGCAGCAAATGAGGAGAAGCCTGTAAGTGGTCTTTGGTGCCTGCTTTTTGTTTGGATATTCATAAAGCTGAAATGTAAATAAAACTGCTGCTACTTGCCTTGCTTTTATTAAATTCTAGGCTGCCCATATAAAACAAGATTGTTCATGCTGAACTTGTAGGTTAACTAATAGCCTCTGGGCCATGCTTTGGGCTTGTCTGCCTTCTGCACCGTTATTACTTTGGTCTTGTTGAACACATTTTGCCCTTGGTTATACTCATTTTGGTTGGCGCAATAGTAAAAAGAATGAGTTTCTCTCAAGACGGCTGGAAAAGATTGCAGAGATGTTTGTTTAAAGATTTAGCATGGGTCAATAGGAAATGCATTTGTCTCCTGGTAAATTTATTATGAGGCCACAGCACCAGTTAGTTGCATTATCCCAAAGATTATGGCTTGAACAGAGTACTGTCTTCTGGATAGTTTTATAAGGGATTCTGTCTTCAAAGCATCAGTGCCTCAGTGAGGTGTAAAGCCCTGTAGCAAAATTTATGCAAGTTTATTTTTTCCTTACATCAAATAAGCTTGAAACAGCTACCACTGTGCACTTAACAGCAACAGAACGCTTTCAACTTGTACAGAGCTTGCTGGGCAAAACCAGCTTCTAAAAGCAGTTGTGTTAGAAGTGGGGATACATTTTATCCAGACGAACCCTAAATACAACAGTAAAAAACACACAAAAACAAGTGAATCAAAGGTAGTGTAACAAATCGTTAGCATAATAATCTGTTGACATGGTTTTTCAAAGTAATGAAGCATCTCTTACCACGGGCAGCTTCGCCTAGTTCACGTGTCCCTCTGAAAGTCAGCGAGGCTGAGGCTCTTAGCTTATGAGTGCACCTCCAAAGCTAGGCTTCTACAATATGCTTACGCTGCAGTCAGAGCTGGTGTTAAATCAGTCGCAGCTGCCATGGGCTACATGTACTTTGCTAAGGATTTATTCAGCTTCTTACGTTATGTTTGCAATTCATGCTGTCATATATGTATTGGTACCTCTGCCCAAATGAGCTAATTAAAATCTGCATTGGGTTGCTCTGTAGACAGTGTAAACCTCTCTCAGCAGAAGAACGCTTACTGAGCATTTTACAACTCAGCCTACCTGCGCAGTGAGCTGCCTGTGAGATCAGGAGGCTGCCTAAATCCGCATTCCTGTTCTTGAGGGTGTTGGACCCCGGGTTTGTCAGTCCTTGTGATCTGTCCACTTATTAAAAACCAAACAAGCAAAAAAATCTGCTTGCAAATGTTTATATTAGATATGGCATTTTAATTTGTGTGCGTAAATATGTTGCTGCTTCTATTATACCCCCAAACTGTTGATTATCTGTCATTTTCAGTGATCACACCCACTGAACTCTAGTGTGCAATAAATTACCTTCTGATCAAGATGGGTTTGTTTGCCAAGTGTTGCAGGGAAGCAACCTGGCAGAAATTCATACTCAGCTGAGAGGAAATGTCAGAGCTGACTATTTATGTGATAATTGCAGTACCAACAATATGCTTACAGCAGTAACCTTGCCTTACAGGATCACCACAGAACTACCTCAATTAAAAACAGAAAAGATTGGTGCAGACAGATCACATCAACCAGCTCCCATTGTATGTTACAGGATTCCCTTGCCCTTCTCAAAATGGCTTATCCAGCCTACTGTTAAAGGAATCAAGAGATTCAGGATTTCACCACATCTCTTAGGAGGTATTTACACAATTGAATACTGCTCTTGCTGTGTTTTTCCTGATGTTAACATTACATTATAGTTTCACATATTTTTGTATGTTTTAATATAAATTATGGCAATCATTGACAAAAAAGAAAAAAGCAGGATCAGTGGCATTTAAAAGATAGTATAGGAAAGTGTAAATCTTAACTTACACACTCTGTAGGTTCTGATTTATTTTTTTTAACCTAACACATACTATCGAATATAAACTGTCACACCAGGACCTACCATAAACCAGTGTTATCCCCTAAAAATATCCAGAGATGAAAGGATAATGATTTTTATTTTTTTATTGGTATCCAGATGTGCAAATGTTTCAGACAAAAGCAAAGGCAATGTGACAATATCAGTTGTATTTAAATATAATGTCTTGTGTTGAAAAGAGCTGTGCCAAAGAGCAGGATTATTATTACTACTATGGCCATGCGGATATTTCTACCAAAATGGAGAACGGTGAGTGCGTGTGGGTTATCTAGCAATATGCAAGAATCAGGGCCACATAATTCACAAAACAGTTTCTTTACCACATCCACAATCATGTAGTCTCAATGTTTCTGTTTATTTGTACAGTAAGTAGAAGAAAACTTCTACCTTACGCTTATATCACTATTGAGTGTTGAGCTAAAGGAACCTGTGCACATGCTTTTAAGAGGTGTACATGTGGCACACTGAGTACAGCATTGCCAATTTGTGCGCTGTAGTCACTGTCAGTTCAGATCATCCTTCCAAATAGCCCAATGTGAACTTAGTGGGACAAATGAATAAATACAGTCTGAGGAGATGGGAATTTTGTGTCTTCAAAGCAATGCGTGAACTGTTGTGATGTTATTGGTTGTGGGTTTGGGGCTTTCTGTTTGTTTGTTTTGTGTATGTTGTTTAATCTTGTGAATGTGTTTAGCTGTTTGCTTGCTTTGGAATGAACAGAAGCTTCAGTTATGTTACTGTGAGAGTCTGCTGAACTTTCTGGACAAAGCCTCCTGAAAGTTCTATTAAATGCTTTAAAAAATATCCTTCAGGTAATAGGAATATGGATAGATTGTGTGTTGCCACAGCAGGATTAGAAATGCTTGCTTGTTTTTGCTTTCTTAATGGGTGAAATCAGATTCAATTAAAGTTTGTGCTCTTTTATCTAGACAGCATAAAATTAGTAACTGCTGTGTGCCTGGTTGCTGTCTTCTGGCTGGAGGGCTGATATTCAGTTACAACCTTAGTGCTTGTGCCAAGTGCTGGAAACCCTTAGGTTGCTCTTGTGGTTGGAGACAGTGAAATATTTGGAACAAGAAGTCCTGTGTGATGACCATTAGGTGATGACAGTCATCTTTATGTTCAGTGGTTTACATTCATAGGTGCTTTCGAAACTGTGTAATGGCTCCCTAGCTGGTGCCATCTGCTCTTGGTTTTGTTATAGCCAGAGGGAAGCGCTGCCATGTGTGCGGCAACGTGGTGTGCGTGCCACAAACTGCGAGAGGAGCAGCGCGGCTGCTCCAGCCATTAGAAGCTACTGATTCTTGCTCTTAATGAATTGCAAATAGCAACTCAAATACTTGATTAAAAATGTATCCTACAGTGCTTAGGGCTTGCATTTAAAGCTTGCTTTGTCCAGTGAGAGCAGTCTGATAGAGAATTAAATGTATTGTGTGTTTTTTTATTATTTTTTTCTTTTAATTATTATTTTATTGTTATAAGATGCCCACTTAAGAGGAAACTAGTACAGGAAATTCTAGTAGAGCCCATTTTTGGCAACTGGTAGTGTAGGGGTGCCTCTATAATGCTGCCTATGGGGCAACAGCGTTTATTGGGCTTGTGTTATTGCTGTGCTCGTCCCTGCTTCTGTGCAGCTCTGACACCTGGTTTCACTGTTTAACCCTTAGCCTATTTTCAGCTGTACCCAAACACTTCTAGAGCTCTCCACTGTAGCTATCTCCTTTGTTCATGTCCTCCCCTCATGTACAACTTCTCTCTCCTTGATCTTTCCTTCATTTCTCTTCTCCACCACCTCCTTCTGTTTGCTAGGCTGTGTGAAGTCTTCCATAAGTGAATGCTGAGATGCATCACTTGCTTGTCAGAAAAATGAGTAGTCCCAGCTCTTCCTTTTTGTGCCATCGGTGTACACACAGTTGTTTTGCTTTGCATCTGGTTTCTGAGGCAGAAGTTTCATCTCTTTTAACTAAACTGTGTTCACAAAGATGGAGAAGCTTAGCCATAGCACTTTTAGAAATTGTCCTTTCAAATCCCTCTGTGGAGAGGGGGAGGGGAAGAAATCAATAAGTTTGCTGGGGTGGGAAACACTCTACATAATCCTGCAAAATCCTATAAATCACTGAGAGCTTCCAAGGCAATTCTCTGGGAATCATCTGGGCTCCTCAGTAAAGAACAGGCCACGAGAGAGGCGAGATTGCCCTTCAGGTAAATAATCCTGGAGTTGGGAAGCAGATAAATTTCTGTATTTTCCACCTAGTGTTAAACATTTTAAAGTGACTTGGAGGGGAGAAACAGTAAACTTGCTGCAGGGTAACAACATTCTGTTTCACAAATGTATAGCAACAGCCTGGGTAAAGCACACACAGGGTGTGTGGCCAAACCCTTGGCGGGTATTTCCATAAAGAAGAGTGGCTCCGCAACCTCACTTGACCTTAAGTGTATTCACAATGTGATCCTTAATTGCATATCTTGTAACATTGTTCCCCTGTAGAGTACTGCATTAGGCTATGCACAACAGGTATCTAAAATAGCAACGCTATATTGTTGGGGGCATAATAAATGCTGGTTGCTATAGCAAGCAGCCAGAGTGTATGTAGGAAAATTGATGTTCAGAAACTGTCCTGGGCAACTGCAATCAACTGCTGTCTCTGTCATACAAAGCCTTTCACTTAGACCATGCTTCTTCAGAGGTGATTACTCGTTTTGTGTCTGTGTGTGTGTGTATGTGTGGTAGGCACCTAGAAGAAAATAAGGAGCCCTGGGGTTTGACTTGCAGAAGTACGAACTATTTAGAGATGTGTTTGGAATCTGGGAGAACTATACACAGATAAACAATCACAGAACTGGGGGGAAAAAAAAGAGAGAACATCTATTCTGTCTTGCACCATGCAGCAATATTGACTATGCCTTTATCAGCCACAGAGATGTTTGTCTAATTCGTTCTTCAGATCCTCCAAGCAATCTATTGCAGTGTTTATCTGTAAAACAGATTTACCAAGTATGTTACCATTCTTCTTGCAGTAATGGATAGGGCAAGAAAATTGGGTTAAGCTGACATTGAGAGGGTAACAAAACAAACAAAAAAGGCAGTCTTTTACGTACTTGAAAAGTTTTGGCTTTCCCCCAGTCACCATACAAGACCGTATGGTGCTTATCTGTCCAGTCTGCTTTTTTGCTGGTGGTGTTTTCACTCTCTCTCATTTTCTTTTCTCTCACCTGGATGCACTTTGACTAGATTTTATCACTCCTGAAGTGTCTTCCCTCAAACTGCTAGCAATATTCCAGATGAGGCTTTATCAGTAGTGCTCAGTGCAATAGAAAGGTAACTTCATGTATCTCGCAGACTGTTTGCAGTGTGATGCAGGCAAGCAGGAATTTGCACTCCTATCTCACCTTGGGTTTTAGTAGGCACAAAGCAGCTTTATCAATGGTCTTGTTTTTAGAAATGGGTGAAACAATGTAGTTGTAGCTTTCCAAAATAATTCAGGTTGAGGGGAAAAAATGCTTCAAGCCAAAGAGTTGGAATCTAGTAATCACAGTCAATAGGAAGGCTCAGGTCATCTTGAAATAACCTAGACTCAACTCTATCTATAATAAATCTACATGTAATCTAAGTGCCTTTGCAGGCCTTCAGGCAGATTTTCAGTCAGGATAATATCATTACTGACCCAGAGAAAGCCTAAATGTCTCTTCTGAGTACAGGTGTTCAGAACCTGGGCACAAGGACATGAATTTCACCAGTCAGTAACTTCCATGGGACTTGCTTTAGCGCTCACAGTAAAACAGCCTGCCTAGTGAGGTGCCCTCCCCATGTCTTGCACCACAGGGGTATGTGCATTTGGTTGGGTTTTATTCTTTTGAGATGTCCTGTGTATGCTGACTAAATCAAAACTCTCCTCATATTGAATTCAGTGCTGATAAAGATACAATCTGTCTCAGCTGTTTTCAACATAGCGAAGTTAAGATTTATGAATAGTTTTTTTTTTGTTTTTTTTTTTTTTTAATAGCAAATAAACTTCTAAGTGGTGGATGGTCAGTATAAACACATCAAATATATCCAGTATCTGCTTCCCATATTCCAAAAAGCATTTGACTATTACAGAAAGCCAATGCTTGACTCAGAGGCTCCTTAATTCTAATGTCTATTTGATGTACAAAGCAATGCCTGCTGTCAGCTGTTTCCAACATAGGTTTCAGGGTTTGTGCTGACAGGCCATGCAGGGGGTGCGCTGCGCTCTTCAACCCCTCATCAAGAATTTACAAGATTCCTTGTAATACTTTATTCTGTGGTAAAACTTTCTGTTTAATTCTTGCTCTCTTCTTCTGAGATTATTTACTCAAAGGTGGCATAAGAAATGGACTTTTAAAAAATGTTATCCACAAATTCTGGTGTCCAATTTGTATTAAACCCCATCAAGTGAAACAGTATTAGTTCAGGGTTCTGGATAGGTTTTGAAAGTGGTCAGGCACTACCAAGCCTTGTTGCTGTCAGACTCATTAGCGAGAGAACTATAAGCTGCTAGAGGAAAATGTTGCTTTATTGTTATGTTGTGATCAATGTCAAGAAAAAAAAGATTTAAGCTTTGAAAATCATGGCAGGGATAAATGAAGGACATGGTCTAAAAGGTGTCTTACTGCCTCTTTCAGGGTCTTTCTCAGACCCAGGTATCAAGGCTGACTGGATTCAAATAACATAAAGATTAAAATTTCCTCTGATAAATGTGTTAGACTTCTCAGAGGTGTTTCTAACATCCAGAAACATGAATGCTATAGA